ACTTGAATCTAGAATCTTCTAATTTTCAAAATGAGAACCTAACTTGTAATGTTTAGTAGTAACTGTTTTCAAAGCTTATATTTTGCTTCCAAAGCTATTGAGGTTTCCTATAAGAAAACTTAAAATTTTTATTATATTTCCCTTGGCTTCCCCTTGTTTGCCTCCTTTTTCTTTAATTAAATGCATCTACCCTGTTCTTTATTAATAGCCCAGTATAAGTGGTTACTTTTTTTAAAATGCAGAGCTTTACTGAACATTCACATTCCCTTGACTAAACAGTCATATTTTCCCTTCTTTAGATTATCTGTTGCTTCTGGCTGAAACTCGCCGTTCATAACAGATGTGCTAATATACCCACATAAATGATCAAATTGTAATGAAAATAGATGCGTTTAATATTTCTGAATTTAAGATTTATACAAAGTCAAGATGCAGCTCCAGTAAGTTTCTTTCCCCCTTTTTTTAAAGTTTTGTTTCTTGATGAAAGAGAGGTAGGGGGCACTTCCTATAGGACCTCCAATCCCAACCAGCCAAGATGCATGCTTGTGCCTAGAATGCACAGGGAGACCTTGGGACATGAACCCAGAACCCACGTGGCTTCAGCATCATGAGCAGCGCCTCACCACTGCACTGCTACACCTGACCTTTTTTGTTTTTTAATGAGAAAGAGAATAGGCAACACAGGAGGGAAAGAAAGCAGGAGAAAGAAGTATTTTTTTGTACAGGGTCTTGTCACAACTTCTCTTCCTGCCTCAGCCTCCCTGTTAGCTTGGACCCCAGGTGCACACCACAGCACCCACCGTTTTAGGTTGGGCCAGGAACCAAACCCCCCTGTGGCCTCAGCAACCATGCAGCAGCACCTCCCACTTTTGCCACTGGGGTAAGCCTTCCAGTAAATTTCCTAGGTAGTAAGCTAGAAAAATATCTAACCTAGCTAAGCTTTAAAAATAATAATAGAGATATAAAAGCAAGCTTTTCTGGTAAAAACATGACTTTGTGTCAACAGTATTTAATTCCTCCTATTCACATGCCCAGCAAAGATCCAAGTGGCCCTTTAGTGGCAGAATGGTGGACTTCTGAGGTTCATGGTGAGAGTCTGTGCCAAGTCCAATTGGATTCCAGAGCAATTATGTTATTAGAACATTGCTGATTGCCCCAGTGCCCATTGTGCAGCTTAACCTTTAAATGCTAGTGATAATTAACTACTTTATCATATCACCAGGAAACTCCAACATATGAAACTCTGTTCTATAGTAAAAGTCAAAAATAAAATGCTGCCCACACAATTGGAAACAGCTAGCTTCAGAAAAATAAAACTGTTTGTTTGTACATGTGTGCCAGTAAATAAAAGGAAAGATCTAAGTAGGCATTACCATTTAATATTTTTAAGAAAACATTTTATTGTTGTTGAGAAATCATTGTTTTCTTTTGGACAGAATAGATCTAGTGTTCAGTAGAGTGTATCATTATCCAAAGGCTCAGACAGTTAAGCGCACACACATAAACTCAGTTTTTCTTCTTTGTATAAAATAAAAAGTTAGATGAAGACTGAGGAGTTAAGGTGAATAAGGGACAGAGCTGGCATATTACCAGCTCTAAGAGCCACCACTACTCACAGCCTCCTCTAGTGAATGGTTTCCCATGGATGTGTTTGTCTAGGTGGCCCTCTGACATATGTTAGGAATTTTGGATTAAGATTGAGTGTTGCCAAGAAGATTTACAGTCATTAGTGTTCAAAACCATTCCTGGGACCACCCCATGATCTAGTAACTAAGGTGGCTGGATCACACATGGCCAACTGTGAGGTTCGAGTCCCGGATCTGGTAGTTTAATAAACACACCTGGCGTTCATGCGTGTATGCCCAAGATCCTAAAAGGAGGGAGAGATGGAGAAGAGATTGTGGCATGACCGTGCCTCATTCCTCATGGGGAGTGCTTCCTTGCTTTCTCTCCTCTCTCCAGCAAGTACATGTGCCCCTGGCAATTATTTTTTAATGTAAACAAATAAAAATAAAGTTTATTGCAAGGGCTCTATTCATTGGATGACCAAAACGCTAAGGGAACAAAGAGGAATGAGGAATTAGATTTGCCTGACAGCAGTATCCAGGGAAGCATTGAAAATTGACCTTAGAGCTGGTAGGTATCTAGAATGAGAGGAAGATTTCGAAAGGTGTTAAGGTGAATAAGGGACAGAGCTGGCATATTACCAGCTCTAAGAGCCACCACTACTCACAGCCTCCTCTAGTGAATGGTTTCCCATGGATGTGTTTGTCTAGGTGGCCCTCTGACATATGTTAGGAATTTTGGATTAAGATTGAGTGTTGCCAAGAAGATTTACAGTCATTAGTGTTCAAAACCATTCCTGGGACCACCCCATGATCTAGTAACTAAGGTGGCTGGATCACACATGGCCAACTGTGAGGTTCGAGTCCCGGATCTGGTAGTTTAATAAACACACCTGGCGTTCATGCGTGTATGCCCAAGATCCTAAAAGGAGGGAGAGATGGAGAAGAGATTGTGGCATGACCGTGCCTCATTCCTCATGGGGAGTGCTTCCTTGCTTTCTCTCCTCTCTCCAGCAAGTACATGTGCCCCTGGCAATTATTTTTTAATGTAAACAAATAAAAATAAAGTTTATTGCAAGGGCTCTATTCATTGGATGACCAAAACGCTAAGGGAACAAAGAGGAATGAGGAATTAGATTTGCCTGACAGCAGTATCCAGGGAAGCATTGAAAATTGACCTTAGAGCTGGTAGGTATCTAGAATGAGAGGAAGATTTCGAAAGGTGAATACTCAGGGAAGGGCATTTCTCTGAGCCAGGAGGAAAGGCTACACATGCAGTGAAACTGCACAGGGCATTGGGGGACACAAACTCACAGGGCTGATGGACTCAGGGTCAGGGCTCTGGGTTGGAGTGGGCAGTGAGGACTTTGGGAAACAGCATACGCTGAAGTTTGAACTTTTCTCCTGCGAATGATACGGTCCTTTTGAAAAATGAGGAGTGAGAAGTAGCTAAATCTCTGAATTCCAGTATGTGGAAGATAAACTGAAGAGGGGGGAAACTAGGTGTGGGGATTCGGCCTGAGATCTCACAGATTCTGTTCACATGTGTGGTTTCATGAACACCCGGTTTCCAAGTGCTTTGGGTTGTGTGAATGTGAAGCTTAAAAGTGAGTTTTCGAACTCGGCAGAGATACACAAAAGTCAAGAGGTAGTTCACTTTTAAAAATTGTCTGGCATGTAATGTTCTGCTTCAGTCTTGAGCTTTACAGAATAATGCCTGCAGCCTTTTTTGCCTCTAAGCTTAAGGTTGAATGTTTGAGTGGAGATAGTTACAGGGTTTGACACATACAATTTACAGAGTATTCATAAAAAACCTTGAGAAGGGGCTGACACAGCAGGGAAGGCTTTAGGTTTAGCCGACCCCTGGCAGTGGGCACCCACTCACTGGCTTCATTTTCCTCCCCCATCAAACTCCCACTGGCTATCCACTTGCTTTGAAAGCTTAGAAATGCTGGGGAAAACAGTGTGGTCTTTTGGACCAGAAATAAAGTAGAACGTAGAGCCACAAGTTCCAGCTATCCCCTGGCCTCTCATAGTTAATGAAAGGTCTTTGTAAAACTTTGTTTGTCTTTGTTATTATCAATAGACAGAGATGAATTAAAATGTCTATAAATGTTTTATATGAGATGACTAAAGTTAGAAATGAAAAAAGAGCATTATGAACACTTTTCTGAATTGATTTGGATGCCAGGCAAAGATGTTCTGGTTAGTAAGTCATTCTTCTTGAACTTCTTCTGTAGGCATTTTATCTCCAGGTATACTCTGTCTACTAAGTGCTCAAACATCAGCCCTGCCTTACCCCAGGCAGGGTACTTTCACATTTGGTACCCCGGCCCTGGGCCCTGCTGATGGCCTTTGCTCTCCACTCACCTTTCACTGGGGCAGTGCAGCTTCCCTTCTTTCCCCTTGCCTTTATTTGGATTTTCTCTTTGGTGGTCTGTTACACCATGACATGCTAGTTCTTAAGGTGGTTCCAGGTTTTAGTAAGACCTTCTTCACGTCTTCATGCATGATTTTAAGCTCTCGGTACCATCTACATGAGACTAGTAACCGCCTGCCCTTCAAGATTCATACAGTCAGATCTAGTGATTCTTTTCTGTGCAGGGAACTGAGAGCTCACTGAACAGGCAGAGTGAAGGATGTGGCCTGAGCTCCTATAGATCACCCCTGTCTGTGATCCCCTGGAGGCATGGGCCATCTTCTTCACTCCCTGGGCCAGGTAGGATTCCTAGGTTTCCAGAGAGAAAAAGAAACAGGCTCATGAGAACTCTAGGAATCAGAAAGGGATACAGCACAGTTTTGCAGGTGTTTTGCCAGACACTCTACATCATTCAGGCCCTTAAGAAACGGGGCTATGCAGATTCTGTGAATAGGACTGTTATGTACATGACCGCCAGTTTTGTTTGCACAGATCCCTAAAGATTACCTCTCATCTTTTCTCACTGAAGAATTACTAATTATTTCTTCAAGCTCAACTCTATTAATAGTTTCTTTGTAGAAGCTTGAAGTACTGACTTCCCATTAACCAGCAAACATTTTTTTAAAGCCTGCCTTTTCTTCCTTCTTTTTTCCTCCCAACTTTCTAAAAGTGCATGAGCAGTAAAATATAAACCTATATTTTAGACAAAACCCAGTCTGTCTTTTTAGCATACACTACCTCACCTGCCTTTTTTCTTTCTTTGTCATTCTGTTATCTCCCAGCCTTTTTTTGTCCTTTTCTTTCTTTTATTTTCCCTTTCCTTCTTGTCTTTTTCTCTTTGTCTTTCCCTCTATACTTCTGTCCGTCCTTATCTCCTTCCTGCCTTCCTGTCTTCTCTTAACAATTTTGCAGGTGTGTAGTAAAGAACAAAAAGAAAAGGTGTCAAAGGGATTTAAAAAAAAATCTCTGTTAAACGGATGCTTCTTTTTCAATGCTACTTCCCTTTCTAATTCCAGAGCTCTTCGGTATCCCCATCAGCCAGTTTTCGAGGTGCTGAGAAGCACAGAAACTCCACAGACTACTCATCAGAGAGCAAAAAGCAGAAAACAGAAGAAAAAGAAATTGCAGCTCGTTATGTGAGTTCTTTACCTTTGCTTTGGGGGAGACCAGCTTGCCTTGCCTTTTCTACCATTTGACTGTTACTGTCCAGTACTCAAACGTGGGGTAACAGCTTTCTTGGGGGGGGGGACGTATTTATTACGTTTATTGCTCTAATTGGGTAGCTGAGTTCTGTGTGTATGGGGATGTGCACTGTGTGCCCATCTGGCAGATGACAGAAGACGTGAGTGTTCTATGTTATTTGCAGAGGTGTATCTGTCCCCTTCCCCATGTATTTCAAGGTGGTTAAATTTTCTGTGGTTAGCTGGAAACGTCAGGGAGAAATATAAAATCACAGGAATTTTGTTTAAATGCCTTAGATGGACTCGTGCTGAGGAAGACAGCAGGTTTTATGGTCGGTAACTTGTAGAGACACTGCTATGTCCCTAGCATAGCTGAAGCTCTCAGTCCTCTAGCGGCTGGATAAGCTACTTAGATGAAGGGAGCAAGCCCGAAGGGCTGGTATGGAGACAGGCAATCTCTGTTCCTCCTCCCCTACAGGGGCCTTGGAGGGCTGTGGGCCTCCCAACAAGCTGAAAATCTGGATTTTCTCCTCCCAATTTAAATTTGTGACTACTTAATAAGTTGTTGTTGTTTTAAATACCATCTACCAAACTATACTCATCTGTAGGCTGGATTTAGCCTGTACATGCCAGTTTATGGCCACTCCTCTAGAGTAATAAGCCATCAGCTTCAATTGTTTAAACTGGAAAATGGAATCTTGTCACCTATTCATGACATCATGAGGATTAAAGGAAGTGGTGTGTTATATCGTATTTGGCACTGTTCCTTTTTATGAAATATGAAGAATTGGTCTGGACTCAACTTGGATAAATCTAACTAAAAATGTGACTTATTTGGCTGGGAGAGGAGATAATGCTTCTCGATTGTCCATGCAGGACAGTGATGGAGAGAAGAGTGATGACAACCTGGTGGTGGACGTTTCCAATGAGGTATGCTCATGGCAAGTTTTCACTTCCTGCTCTTACCCATTGGCGACAACAGAAGTTAGTGTTCAAGCAGTTAGTATTTACAATGCCTTCTTACTTTTTGAAGAAACTCACTTTTTGTTTACCTGAATAGTTGTGTATTACTGATTTTATGTTACTGGCCCCTTTTTATGTTTTGTTTTTATTGCTCTTTTTTTCTATGAAATGGAAGTGTCTTTTTCTATCACCAAGAGTGGACACAGACATGTATAGTCAGCTATAGAGCTCATTGACAAGCAAATTGTAGATTTGTGGGGGTTTGATTTTTGTTTTAAACAAGTACTGTAAATATTGTAGTGTTTTCTTTGACTTGGATACCTAATATTTTCTTAGACAATTTCAGTAAGTCCTGTTATCTTTTCCAAAACATTTTATGCTTCTAAGCTATTAAGTGCTTTTGACTAGCAATGCCTGTACCCGAAGATCCGGCATTGTAATTGCAAGGTGCTATGTTACTACCTGTGATGTTCCCTTGTAGGATCCTTCTTCCCCTCGAGGGAGCCCAGCACATTCCCCAAGAGAGAATGGCCTGGATAAGACACGCCTGCTCAAGAAAGATGCCCCCATTAGTCCAGCCTCAATCGCATCTTCCAGCAGTACTCCTTCCTCCAAATCCAAAGAACTTAGCCTTGTAAGAGCTCTTCACCATTTGTCTCAGTGTTGCTGGCTTTGAGGTGGTTGGGTTGGGTTTTTATTTTTATTTTTTTTGGTTTTTGTTTTGCAACTTTTCTATAAGATTTTTATTTCCAAGTATATCTATATGCTCAGTATTTAACTGACAGGAAGTATTTTGGGAACAGTGAGTTTACTAACTTGTCGGCAATGGGTGTTTGTCATATGAGTCTTTTTGTAAGGAGAGAGAGAGGGGTATGGAGAAATGGAGTAAAACACAGCTTAGGAGATGAAAAATATACACTGGGATTACAGGAGATGGTTTTGTCACTGTGGTGGATGGTAAATTTAGTTTGGGACTTGGATATGATTTTGTTGCTAGCTTTGTTTGACTTACCAAGCTGTGTATGACTGCAATAATTTTCTTTTCCTATTCTAAAAATAATCTGTCATTTACAAAAGTCTACCTTGACTCATACTGCAAATCACAAATGCAAAAATGTACTGCTTGTGAGTCGGGATAATCTCCCTGCCCTCGCTTCTTCTGCAATTGTGTAATTAGTTGTCTTTTTTTCATAGTGTTTTTTCTTCCTAAGCAGTTATTTCCTTATAACACCTTTTAAAATAAGATAAATCTAGCATTCAAATAACCTTTTGAATTTACAGCTAAAAAAGAAACATAAAATCATAGAAAATTTGTTTAAATGCCTAGATGGACTCATGTGCTCAGTAATAGACCAAATTGTGTGGAATATAACTTGCACAGAAATCCAGAATGATTTCATGTGGGTGCATTTCTGTGATGACTCAGGCTTTTTATAGGACCTGTTAACTAAGAGGTCACTTGTGACACAAACATTTTATCAAGAGCCCAACTCAAACCACTCAGTCTTTAAACCAGCGCCACCAGCAATTGCCCAGTTACTGTCAGAGCATTGTGGTTTGTCAGGCTTCTGTCTGACTCACACCAGTTTCCTAGACATGACCTACTCTTTATTCTAAATTCATTATTGTCCTCCTGAGCATTGGGTTTGTGTTCTCAAGGAGCTCTTTTTGTTTTTTTGTTTGTTTGTTTGTTTTCCTCTGACTGTTTTTGTTTTTAATTTATTTATTTATTCCATGAATGAAAGAGAGCCAGAGTTACAAAAACCCTGACAGTCTTGACACCACAAGAAACCCCCAGCTTCGGGCAGCCAGGACTGAAGGCACACACATGCCAGGCATACTGAGGGAAGTCTCCCAGGGCGAACCTGGAAGTTTGTGGCATGGGGGAGCCTCACCAAGACTCCCATTTTACCACTGTGTCACTGTTCACCCTTGTTGGCTCTTTGGAATTAGTGAAAGCAAACATCCAAGCTGAGGAAGCTCTTTGATTTTTCTTCTTCTTTTACCTTTGTAATGTAATATATCTGTTAAAGCTATGTGCTAATTGCTGGTTCGCTTCATTACATCTCTTGTCAGAATGAAAAATCTACTACTCCTGTTTCAAAGTCCAATACCCCTACTCCACGAACTGATGCGCCCACCCCAGGCAGTAACTCCACTCCTGGATTGAGGCCTGTCCCCGGAAAACCACCAGGAGTTGACCCCTTGGGTTAGTAAATAACGCTTTATCCCCGATATTTGTGCTTCTGTTTTTAAAGAACTTAAACCAATTTAAAAGAGTGCAATAAATGAAAATTCTAATGACCAACATTGAATGACTGTGATTGTTACACCAAGTTGTTTAGCCCAAACCAAATACCTGGCACCTGGTAGGTGTTCAGGTGAATCGGGATGCATGAAAGATTCCCCTCTGAATGCCAGAATGACTTTTGAGCATGTGAAAATAAGCCCATCTAACCATAGATTCTATTAAGAACGACTTTAATATTGTATCCTGTGGTCTTGGTTTTTCTTTCTTCCTTACATTTCGTTCTGCAGCCTCAAGCCTAAGGACCCCCATGGCAGTTCCTTGTCCATATCCAACCCCATTTGGGATTGTGCCCCATGCTGGGATGAACGGAGAGCTGACCAGCCCTGGAGCGGCCTATGCCGGCCTGCATAACATCTCCCCTCAGATGAGTGCCGCAGCCTCCTGCGGGGTGGGGGCCCCCCCGCCCCGGCCCCCCCCGCCGCTGCCGCCTATGGGAGATCACCAGTGGTATGTGGATGGGGTCCGACCGGGGTAATGTTTCAGAGTGCAGGGGCTTCTCCTACGGATTTTTAAATGTACTTTGTATCATATGACACGTTCGGAGAGGAGTCTGCGTGTGTTTGTAAATTAAGCTATAATACATGTAATTTTATCTCAATATGAATTTCTAGTGTAAATTTATAGTTTGTAGGTCTTTAAAATTTGTATTACTTGGGAAATTTCAAACATAAAAAATTAGATCTCATAGACTATAATGAATATAATCAATCTTTTGGGGGTTTTATTTTGTTTTTTGTTTGTTTGTTTGTTTTTTGAGAGGTTTTCGCTATGGGGCATGTGCGCTCGCCAGACAGACAGAGACATAGAAACAGAAAGCAAGAAATCACCCCCCAGGGGGAATGGTCACGCTGCAATCCCTTCTCCTCCATTCTCCTCTCGGGATCTCAAGCACGCACGCACACGTACACGGCGTGAGTTTTCAGCCACCGAATCCGGGATGCGAACCGCAGTCGACTACATGGGAGTCCAGCGACATAGCCATTACGCTAACTGCTGGTTCCCATAATCAGTCTTTTGTTTCTGTCATAAGCTTTAATAATCATTAGTGTAATTTTTTTTTATGTAAATTTCTTTCCTCCAGTATGTTACTGTTTAACCCTAAACTATTAGTTCAGCCATAAAAATTCCCACATATCTAAAATCTTATTTTTAAAGGGTCTATCCCAGGTTTTAGAAGAGAGTTTGAGGAGATAAAACAAGTTAATCTAACTATATATTTATTGTTTTGCTTGGGGAAAATTCTAGGTTGGATTTGATCCACACCATCACATGCGTGTCCCAGCAATACCTCCAAACCTGACAGGCATTCCAGGAGGAAAACCGTGAGTACCTTTGTGCCTTTGTACTCCTTGTGAGGTGAAGCCCTGGTTCCTTACAGTTTGAGCACAGACTGGTTGGCGTGGGGGTTTCCTGTAACTTAAATTTCTTTCTTTTTTTTTTTTTTTTTTTTTCATTTTTTTCTTAAAACATGTTTTTCATTTTTTCTTTGTGCAAGAACAGAATTAATGAGATTTTTTTTTTCCCAGCTTTAAAATTTTGAGCTTTAATACAGAAGTGCGAATTGAAGCAGCATCTCTAGTAGTCAGGTCTTCTCTCCATCTATTGCTGATTTCAAGGCAGTTCTTTGTTCAAAAAGTCTATTATGTGTAAACCTAGGTGTTCAAAATTTGAACATGTTATGAAAAGACTTGCCAAACCACAAAGGCTAGAATGAAATAAGGGCAGTCTAGAGCTTGGTTCTGTTTCTGGAAAAAGTGACTTGTTCAGTTGATTCTTACACTGTGAGCTGGGCATCTGGAATCTCTGTATTCACGATCCTCTTGAGTTTGGATCACAATCCTCTTGAGTTTGGAAAGAGCACAGCACACTGAATGATCTAGCCTCCTCTTTTACATTCTAAACTCTGATTTTACTCCACATCTTTTATTTCAATGCACTTCACCTTTTTATTACTGCCTACCTAAGGACAGTTCTTTCTGCCAATAGCTTGATCTTCCCAGATGCAGAGACTTTATTATAAAGTACTGGCTCTTTTAACATTCCAGCTGGTGGACAGGGCCTGTGGCCTAGTGGTTGAGGGAGCTGGCTCTCACATCATCAGCCACGATTTGAGTGTTGGCCCTGGCAGTTTGAGAAGCACGTTAGGTGCATATGCATGCTCGCCAGGATTCCAACAGGTGGAGGAATGGAGGAGAAAGATTGCATGACCACATTCCATTAAAGGATGCTTTCTTTCTCCTTCCCTCTGTCTGGGGAGCATGTGTGCCCTTCCAGCTTGTTTTTCTTCTTCCTGATGTTTGGGAAAACATCTCCCACAGACCCTCCTTGCCTTGTTAGTCATATATGTGTTGTCATACCTCTTTCCATTGGCATCCTCCACTATACAACCAAACATGCCACCTCCCCAGTGTCCAGGGCTGTTCATACTTGACCTTAGTAGCAGCTAAATGCCCCTTCTCCCATAGGTTTTCCTGGCGGCTTGCCTGTCTCATGACATTTACTAGTCCTCCTTCCTGCAACGCTTTTGATGTGACTTACTGTCTCACGTTCAGTTCTCTGCTGAGAGTCATATTACATTCCGTCCTAACAACCCTATCTTAAAATATTACCCCTTTCTCTCTTTCTCCTTGTTTTTTGTTTTCCTGCCTTTTAAAGTCGTACTTATAGCCATTATCTGCCTCTCCCCACTTGAATATAAGCTCTGTGAGTATAGAGCAGAACTTTCTGCTGATCAGTCACAGATGTAACTCAAATGCCTAGAGTGTGTGGTACCTGATTCGCAGTTGGTGCTCACAATGTAAGTTTGCTCTGTGAATGAGGAAGATGTGTTGACATTTGCCTTCTCTGACCTCCCATTACTTTGGTCATTACTTCACACTCAGACACGTAGTTATCAATGTAGTATTTCCTTTGTGTTCTCTTTTTTCCCCTCATGTTGCCTGCTGTCTTGGTGTTGAACATCCCCGACCTTGACTCTTTCTTTACTTTTCCTGTGGCGAATCGGATTCTCAGTTCTTCCTTCTATTCCCGATTTCCTGTTGCATCAAATAGAACACCAGCTCCATAGCAAAGTTGCTCAGTAAATATTTGACTGATTAATAAGAGAGAAAAGGCAAATTAGACTTTGAGTTCCTTGAGAGTTGGAGGTATAAATATCAATTACCATGAAATTCGGTGTATTTGTATGTGTTCTGCAAATAGTTGTTGACTGACTGACAAGTCTTGTTGACCAAGAACTCTGGTGTATTTGAAGGTGAAAGTTCAGTATGTTTCAAGCAGTGACTAAATAGCAAGGTCATAGGATTAATCAAATAATGCAAATACCTACAAGTCCCATATAAACTTGTGGGCCAGCTGGAGGATTTTCTCAAGAAAAGGTACTGTCCTCATTTCAGGTGCTGCATAGTTACCACTTAGATAACCAGTTACCCTCGGAGTTACAGTATAATATAGACACAGCGCTACTTCTTATCACAGATGCTACCTTTAGGCCAGAGGAGTGAGCAGTGTGTCAGGTGTGAAGAAGCAATTATGGTCTTGGTTTGGAGGTTCAAGTGCTGGGGCTTGACCTGTTGATGAACCACAATAGAATCTCGGTTGGTCTGACTGCTTCTGAGCCCTGAAGGAGGCTCCTCTCTTTCTTCCAGTCTTAACTCTTGGCATACGCAGTTTGTAAGATCCTTTTGGGCAGGTAGATGGAGGATTATTGATCATTTTTGTTCTTGGAAGTACCAGAGTCACACCTGACATGATTGGCAAATGACTCTTTACCAGGAATATCAAAAACATCTGATCTGGCATGGTTGGTTGGTGCTTGATAGAGTATGGGCTCTGGAGCATGACAGATCCAAGACTGGATTTTGACTGACTTTAGCCAGTTTCTTAACTTTGTTTCATTGGACTCATCAGTACTAGAGAGGCACCTCCTCGACCAGGATGTGAGAATGAACATTCTAAAAATATGTCTTCCTGGTAGTGTTGAATGTTCAGCACAACGTTCAGTACATGGTCCTATTCAATTACCTTCAGCATTATTTTCCTTTCAGCTTTGCCCAGGGTACTGCTAACTTTTCAACCATGTATGCTATAGAAGGTACCGTGTGTTATAGGGGACAGAAATAATGAAGATTAGATTGAGCAAAGTCCACGTTCTCTGTCATTGGCATGTCAGTATGTTACAGGGCATCAAGACACATTCACATTTATGCATAAAGAGATAATACACTTTTTTTTTAATTGCTAAAGAGCATGTGCACTTGCCAGAGGCAGAGAAAGAAATTGAGAGGCAGAGGGAGAAAGCATCCTTGCAATGGGTGTGATCAAACCCAGACCCTCCTTCATTGCGCCATTTCGTCATGATTTGGGGCACACAGGCTCATGCCCCTGGTATGTTTTTCAAGTGCAAGGGCTGGAATTCAAACTGCTGTCAGTTATTCGGATCTGGCTCCCATAACCACTAGATCAAGGTGCCAGCCCTAGATGATATACTTTTATTATAGATCTTTACAGTAAAAATTACTATGATGATTATGTGACTCTCTAGCATATAAGATACAGAATTGTGAAATTTTTTCTCCATAATTTTCAACAAAAAATCTTTTAATTTTTGCTATAGAATACGTACACTTTCTGCAGACAGCGAAAAAGTGAGAATCCACCTGCTGGGGGCCATGGACATGCTTTAATCCATTATCCTCCATTCTCTGGGAATTTTGGGCATGCCCACACATGTATCTGGAGATTTTTCAAGTTGCTAGGTCCAGGACTCACACCCCACAGTCACTCGTGTAGTATCCAGCTGCCTCAACCCCCATGCCATCTGCTGGCCTGAAAAAGCTTTTTCTAAGTATGCCGAAACATAATAAATCATCTAAAAGCTTCCTCTATCACACACTCGCATAATAACTGCCTTTTCTCCAGAAATACTTACAATAGTAGTGCATCTCTGTCCTAATTATTTTTACAAAATGAATTACTAGTTGTTATAATGAATAAAGCAACTTTTATAACTCACATTGGGTCTTCATGTCTGTCTGGGTGAGTTAGCAAGGATTCCTCTCAATGTGTAATTAGAATGACAGCAGTTTAATTTCAACATCAGGTGAAAATGGCCTTTACCCTTCACCTATTAAGTGAGACCTCTATGAATAGTATATAACTATTTGATTGGATCCATAGTATTATATTATGGAATGTGGCATGTGAATGCAGTAAAAAACAAAAGATTTCAGGTTTATGGGTTGTAGGTTGCTCACAATTCCAAAATCTTTGTCAGGTATTCTATTTGTTTTTATAAAGCAGATGTTCAAAATAAGAACAGGATCTGATACATAATAAAAACCTTTAACCAGTATTTGTTGGCTGACTAACCTGCTGGTGGGTTCAGTATGCTTCTTCCAATCCAGTTTTCTATCATACTTCATAAACTATAATAGTCAGACCTTTAATTGTGAATTTGAGGTCTTGTCCCCATCTTGTGAACCACTGAAAACCTACAGAAGGCATTGTGAAGTGTGAGGGAAATGAACACAACAGAACTAGGCCTCTTTTTTCTTGGGGGTGGGGGGATGTTTGCCATAGGGTGCATGCACTTGCCAGAAAAACAGAGAGAGACAGAGAGACAGAACACGAGAAATCACCTCCCAGGGGAGACGACCATGCCGCAATCCCTTTGCCTCCATTCTCCTCTCTGTATCTTGAGCACACATGCACATGCTCCCAGCGTGAGTTTAAGCCACCAGGTCCGGGACTTGAACTGTGGTCGACGTCGACTACGTGGGAGTCCAGTGACATAGTCATTATGCCAAATGCTGGTCTCCAAAACTGGGCCTCTTACAGAGGGGAGATGAGGTAGAGGTGGGAAAGCCAAGGACCGTCTTTAAACTTATGATGGCTTCTTTGAAAGATGATGATGATACAGATAAAATAATGACTGACACACATGTTTTAAACAGTTAAATATCAATTTGGAGACCAGCATTTGGTATAATGGCTATGTCGTTGGACTCCCATGCAGTCGACTGCAGTTCGAATCCCAGACCTGGTGGCTTAAACTCATGCCGGGTGTGTGTGTGCGTGCCCAAGATCCCGAGAGGAGACTGGAGGAGAAGGGATTGCAGCGTGGCCATCCCCACACACACACACACCCGAAGGGTGATTTCTTGCTTTCTGTCTTTTTGGTGAGTGCACACCCCCTATAGCAAATACCTCTCCAAAAAAAGAGAAAAAAAAAAAATGTCTTGTCAGAAAGTCCAAACTTATCTCCTCCACCTGTCTTCTGTCCTCTTTCCCATATCTGTTGGAGAGCCAGTCTTCATTCCTA